GCGTGAAAAATGCGAAGCTTTGATGTAACAACAGGAAACACTGAATTAAATGCGGAACAATACTTGCACTTATTTTCAAGTGAACAGTCCGTTTGGAACGATATATAATTCCTTTCGCGTATTTTTCAATTGCGATCACAAAATTCGACTGTATGTGATGACATCTAATATAAGACTGTCTTGATTCACCACCTGCAGTGGGACTCTGTAACTCAAAGCGAAAGCGAAAGCATGCGTAATCGACTGCTTTTGCCGTTTCGGCAGTGCTGCCAATGCAATTCGAGTCCTTCCTTCTCTTTAGCACGTGAAATCCTCCGCAAATGAACGAAAACCTCCTCCCGACAAGGTTAACTGAATTTGACGTGTGTTCTATGTTCTGCGGATAAAATGCTATTTTCAAAACACACCTTTTGAATCTTGAATGAAATACATGATTGATAAGTTAAATCATTAATTTTCGAACAATCATATATATATATATATATATCATTAATGAAATTATTCATTTCCGAACAATCATATATATATACGTGGAACAAACCGAAAAAAAAAACAAACTACACATTTGTTAGAAAAAGATTTCATTGAATTTCTTATTTTTCCAAACACTGGTTTTGAGTATGAACATTTTTTCAGTGCGATAGTTTACCGAATCCGTATTCAGCAAGAGACATAATTATTATGATGACAATGAGCCAATGAGTAGTGAAAATACAACTGGAAATATTAAAAAAATCTGTTATTTTTATTTGTCATTATTCTTTGGTTGTTGGTTGTGTGGTCAAAGTGTAAAAGAGATTTATACTAATTACTAATTTTTGGTATATGAGATTATGACGAAACTTGACATCATTCACACCATTGAGACCGACCACAGAACTAAAACCGAAACCGACGGTTATTTATTTATCTATATTACCACTATAGGCCTTTTCGGAAACTTACTCTGGGTTGTTGACTCGATAGACTCACGGAGGGTTCGATCATGATCATGATTGGATCATGGACAGATGTTGCACGCGCAAGCCTCAACTAAAGTTGAGTAACAAAATTACAATGATGGCTGGAAAAACCCCTTTCCTCCGCTTTGTGTGAATCCTCCTCCAAAAAAACCTCTAACGCCAAAAACAACCCCTTTTCGGAGGATCCTCCGCACATTGGCAGCACTGCGTTTCGGTACTCTGTATCAATATTCGGATGAGGTCGGAGACGCCGAACGTGAGTTCGTAAGCGAAGCAGAAGCGACGGATTTTGGTTGCCGCTTTCTGCGATTCTCAACGATTGAGGTTATAGGTATTGGTTTTTGTTGTTGTTCCTAGTTCAAACTTTGTGTTGATTTGAGAAAAATAATAGATTGATAAATGACGAATGAACCCAAACATGGATAACAAAGCGAGCAAAAACAGAACTTCAGTCAGTGGGACAGATTCCTCAGTTTTACGAACAAAGTCCTAAAGATATTCCAGAGAGATGGAAGTTCCCTTTGGTAGGATTAAGGTAGGGGATGAAAGAACGTGAGACGTGAGATAAAAAATATGATAGACAGTGTGATGAAAACATACAGTTCATTTGGTAGTTGAAAAATAAACTGAAAACTGTCATTAGTGCTGTTGAATAGGGTCTGGAATAATTCATATTCATTCGAATTATCCTTCTCTTTTAGATTCCTGATACATCAAAACAGGCAGATATAAGTAGCTTCTCCAAAAAATGAAATGTGCCATTACTGAATGTTGTCTCACTGAATCCTTGTTAAGAAAAATATGTCTTTGGTGTGAGTCCATTGAAGAAGACAATAATAGGTAATTGAAGAATCCTACTAATATAATATGGCGATACCTACAACAGTGAAACATAACAGAAAGCCTGGAACGTTCAAATTTGAAAAATTTGCATAATAAGTGCATTGGAAGGAAAAATAATTTGGATAGCAAAAACCTTGGAGACACCCAAGAAGAACTGTGTAATATTACTGTGTACCAATAAGGGAGAATCAAGAGTAAATTCCATGAAACAGGATTAACTGAACATTATTTACTATGTTGAACAAGAACAAGAACGGATTCTACTTTCACTACATTAATAATTCCATCCAAGATTCTAAAGTGAACTGTAAGAAAAAGTGCATCTGTATAAATGCACTGTCAACATATAGCTGCCTTGCAGAAGGCAATTCAAGGAATTATATGTGCTTATCATCTTGTTTAATTTGCGACATAGAGAAGCAAGTTCTGATAGGTATTACATTATAGTATGTGAATAATAATATACTGAGTGTTAGATTATAGAATGATATGTCCATTATAAATATAAGCAGTTACATATCTTACAATATTATTGTTATTCTCAGATCATTTGCCTTTACTAGTTGCATATAAATAGAAAGCTATACCTGAGATATACCTAGTGAGAATATAAATACCAATTTTTTATAAAGTAAGGTACATATTTTCCAATGAGCTGCAAGTGCTTTATTTCTGATTGAAACCAAAAATTGACAATACAATAATTCGTAAATGCCGCTTTTTTGATCCAATGGGATGTTTCCTTTGAATAAATGGGATCCGCAACACTGTTGCCAAATTTAACTCCACCAACTTCGTTCTATTTCGTACGAAATCGTATGACGATAGCGAAAGCATAACGAACTACATATAGAGTACCGGAAAGCGAAGTCGTATACTTCGCTTCGTTTCGCTTTCGCTACGCTTTCGCTATGCGACACAAGTTACAGAGTCCCACTGCTGGTCTCGAATGAATGACTAATAGGTTGAATCATGCTGCTAACCGATTAATTTCCGAACAAATGATTTATCTATGACCATGATGAAAATTCCACCTTTGATCTACCAGTATACTCTTTCCCTCACTGCTCTTGTATACTGTTTTTCCCTGAATACAAGATACCTTCATAAAAATTAACAATTATGAATGAATTTGAAATCCAGGACTTTCATTCACTCAGAAACAAATTAACAATAAGGAAAAGTAGTTATTTCTACCTGCTATGTAAGAGGAAGGTCATACTTGTACCTATTTTAAAAGGAATCAATGAAGATTATAAAGTGAAACTTCAAAATTGCGTCAATAAAGAATGAGATGTTGATTGAGATAGTTGTGGAATTGAAATATGAATTTTGAAAACATTGAATTTGCTTCTTTATTTTCATTATAAGAATATTACAACCATACTTATTTTTCCAAGTCCTAGTTTTTCAAGACAATTCCCCATAAACAGAATATGAACTGTTGATCATTTCAATCATGTTCTCTCTCAGATAGGCACTACAAATGAGAGTCAATTATCAGTAATAAATGGATCACAAATTCACCTGATTGTTTTCATCATTGGATCAATGAAGTGAAGAAAAATAGTAAATTTTTGTTGGAGCTGCCAGCATCCAGTTTTAAAATTCATATTTGATTCTCAACGTTTATCCATTTCTTCCATTCAACAGAACTGATTTTTCATCATCAGAAAAGACTTCTTAAGTGCAGGAAATTCATTTTAAAAGACATTATAGGTCCTACATTTTTCCATTGGAACCTTCTAGGATTTTTTTTGTGAGAGATATAATTCCCATATCACTGATAAATTTGAAACTTCTGTGAGTTGTAATGTTTATTTCTTCATATTGGCTTTGAAGGGCTTCCCTGGGGCTGCAGCTGTAAGCATGTTGTGGTCATATGAAATATCTCCTGGTCTTAGTATGGAATGTATGATGGATCTGAGGCACAAGCTGAGTCCAGAGCTGAGTGAAGTGTAAACATGCGCCACAGATTAGCACAGCGCTTTTGGTCAGTTTTTGTGCTGAGATTGTCCATTGCCATTGCAAATATATCAGCTTCTTCCTAATTCACCGATAGTTGAAATGGTTGGGTCATTTTGATATCCTACAGAATGTCACAGGTTTGAATCAACGGTCGATCACCTTGCCAATTCATGCAAAAACACAAAAATATGTAGTTGAAGTCCAGGAAAAACACTTAATGTGAATTTTTTGATAATACTTCGTTTCTTGTTCGTTATCCTCGGGTTTCTCTCTTTCATTTCCAGAACAAAGCGCTCATTATTTCTGGCGGGCTACCTACAGACTATACAATACTATACAGGGCGATTCAAGATTCAATGTTAAGTTTTCAAGGTCATCATATTGTTGGTATCAAAATAAGACTTCTTCTTCATATAAACATGTGTCCTGAAATGGAAAAACTTGACGATGACGTGATCGAGTCGTTTTGGCATCGATGAAAAAGGATGCACCTTTTTTATCGCTGTAAAAATGCCTGTTCCTCAAAACCATACTTCATTGAGTAGGTATGCGCCTGTTAATGTCACCCCAATTTCTATGTGAATGAGCAAGTTGAGCCGTTTTAGTAGAATTTCATCTTGAGAAACCAAAAAAAATTAAAAAAATCATCAATTTTACGCCTATTATACAAGTAATATGAAATGATTGATGAAGGTAATCATTATTTTTGTTTAATTGTATATTTTCGTTGATTAATCTTGCCAAAAAATACTCGAACTTTTTTTTAATTGGATAAATGTTCTTTCTAACTCAAAACATTTTCGATCAGTAGTTTCTTTCGAAAAACTGACATTAGACAAAGTTGCTCGAACTAAACGGTCTCGCAATTGTTTCATGTCAATTTTTCTCGTGTTAAACCTAACCATGACAACCAGAATCGTGAAGGAATCTTGGTGGCGTTCATGTACATTTTTCTCAATCGAGTAGAGAAATTGAAATTGGAATGTCAAGTAGGTACTTCGACAAAAACAGCTCTTGTGTAAGTGACAAAACGAAACCAAACATTTGCAAGCATGACATCCCCACTTAAATAATCTTTGATGACGTTCATGTCATTTTTTCTCCAACTTGCTTTGTCCGTAAACTTTCTAATCTGTGGAAATGTCTCGATTTTGGAGAGTCTCATGATAGAGAAATTGAAAAAAACCTATACAGCGATGAGGAATAGTGAATATATCAAACTATACTTTCGCAGAACGCATCAATTTTACAACATTTTATAATTTTATTGTTCTCTCACTCCAAAACTTGTATATACAATTTTAGCATAAAAAATATAAATTGTGCTTCAGTCTTATTTACGTTTCTCCATATACATGACTAGAAATTGCCCTAAAAAAGCAGCACCGATACCCAATCCGAATATCACAAACTTCGACAGACACCCCAAACCGGGAAGCGACGGCCTCTTCTTAACCGCCGCAGTAATAAAATTCAGCTTCTTCTCGGAAAACGGGGGATATCTCGCCAAATTCGCATACTCCCCCAATCTATTCAGCTTCTTTATCAGCGTCCCCTTCATATGTGAAAAGGTATCGAAGCTGTACTTCCCGTGATAGCCCCCCATGCCACTGTTGCCAACCCCTCCGAACCTCAACGTGTCGCAAGTAAAATGCATCATGGTGTCGTTGACCAGCATGTTACCGCTAGAAGTGTTCTTCAAGAAGAGCTCCTGGATCTGCCTGTCTGTGCTGAACACGTACAGAGCCAGAGGTTTTTCTCGCTCGTTGATGAAGCTGACCGCCTCCTTGGCGCTGTCGACTGTCACTAGGGGGAGAATGGGGCCGAAGATCTCTTCTTGCATCACGGGGTCGGTGGGCTTGACGTTCTCCAGTATTGTGGGCTCGATGTACAAGTCGCTGACATCGTGGGCACCGCCTATGGCTATATTTGAGCCTGAAAGTCAAGTTAAAATGATTATTTTGCAGAGTTGAGTTGAGTAGTAGACCTATGTGATTCCGGACCCACTTTGCCCCGTGAGTATTGAATATCCCCCCGGTTTGCCGTTGCCGCATGAGGGAGACATATATACACTGTGTCCAAGATAAGAATGTCTATCATGGGGATCTCGGAAACCATAAGAGATACGAAGATGGTTGAATTAGAGAAAAATTGCGTATTTTTGAGCCTAACAATATGCCGTTCGAAAAATTTCGAAATGCCGAGTGTTTGGTACTTTGTACCACTTTGTACATCACTGTTACATGGCAACTTGTTGTTGGGGGAAAACAGTTGGAATAATAAATAAACTCAATAAAAACGAGGAAGAATTACAATTCTTCTTCATTCATAAAATAATCATATCATCTCATCAAATCATTCAACCAACCAAATATACAGTCCACTCACACCAAGGCATCGAACACCGAGTATTAATTCAATATTTCGAAGCACGAGTAATATAGCCTACTACACCATACAGCGCCGTCATTTCGCCGCCTACTACATAAAAACAGTCGAAATGATAATAAAAACCATTTTTCCGATTCAAATATTGCAAAATCATTATGTGTCATACATCATTGTATTTGTAATGGAGAGATTAAGAAGTGGCAATGAGAAAGTGTCTTTTGTTTTTCTATCTATCTTTGAATAACGTCAGAAATAAATAAAAACGAAATCGGTATATTTCGGTTTTTCAGGCATATTTCCGGAAATACTCGGCATTCAGGATTTTCTTACGTCATATTGTTATTGCTCTCGTTGCCGTGGCGGTATTTTTAAAATACCTTTGTGAATATCGAATATACGGAAAGAAAAATAATATTGTTTTTCCAAGAATCTTACTTTTCTGGCTATATGCCACGACGAACATTGAATTATATCTAATGAACACACATGATAAGAATTTGAAAACAAAATCTTATGAAGTTGAGAATTTGCATTCTCCTTCAGATAAAAATATGTATATGCACATAATATCATTCTGAATATTCAACAGAAAACAACTACTATCCTGACTATTTGCCACGTCGAACGTTGAATATCCAAGATCAGAGTTCATACAAGTATACTACTTCTCTTATACATTTTAATTTTCATTTCAATACAATTCCATATTGGAAAGTTATATTTTTATAACATAAAACATCATATTATTTCATTCGATTTGAGAATGTCTCAATTTCAGAGGATTTTAATTTTTCATGCTCTCCTTTTGGATGTAATTCAATTTTCGACGTGGCAAATAGCCAGGAAATTAGTTATTTTCTGTTGAATATTCAGAATGATATTATGTGCATATACATATTTTTATCTGAAGGAGAATGCAAATTCTCAACTTCAGAAGATTTTGTTTTCAAATTCTTATCATGTGTGTTCAATGGAAATAATTCAATGTTCATCGTGGCATATAGCCACGAAAGGAGTTGCCTTTTGTAGAATACCCCGAGGAAGAATTGATATTTTCATCAGATAGAGAATGCGAATTCTCAATTTATTTCTTTAAATATATATCCATTTTTCATGTTCACTATTTTATCTGAGGATATTGATTTTCATTAATCGAAGCAGTTTCTTTAAAAAGACCTGCACCTGGACGATATGTTTTGCTGGATCTGATTCAATTGACTTCTTGAAAAATGAGAAAAAAAAGATGGTTGACATTTTTGTGTTCTATACCATCAGCCAGAGGTCTATATTCATCCGTAATAAACCACATCGATATCAATTCAAGGGGCAAAGAAGTGTTGGAAATTTCAGTACTTTTTCCGATAGAAAAATGTATTCATCTTCTGAGATGGTCGAACATTGAGAATGTCAGTACCAAATTTGAAGCAACTAGATCTCACCTTCTAAAAGTTTGACGATCCTACGGAAATGATTTTCATTGATGATCCTGCCGTAGTCCGGATTGGCCTTAACATTCCCACCGTACCACTTATCGATAACTTTTTTACATGCCGCGACCAGCTTGCTTTGGATTTCCCTCCTGCACAGAACATAATCTGGCGCTATGCAACTTTGCCCAGCATTGGCCAACCTGCCGAACAAAATCCTGGCCGCCGTCAAATCCAGGTCAGCCGTTTCATCCACGAACACTGGACTTTTACCCCCCAACTCCAGGGTCACTGGGGTGAGAAACTTGCTAGCGGCTTGATGGACGATTTTTCCGACGACGCTGTTCCCCGTGTAAAAAATGTAGTCGAATCTCTGTGCCAGAAGTTCCGTGGTCTCTGGTATCCCCCCGTTGACCACTTGATAACAGTCTGGCGCTAAATACTTCGGAATCAAGTCTGCCAAGATTTCGGCGGAATGTGGGGCGATCTCTGACGGTTTCAGGACAACCGTGTTGCCGGCTGCTACGGCCCCTATGAAGGGGGCTAGAGTTAGTTGGATGGGGTAGTTCCAGGCTCCTATTATCAGCACAACACCGTACGGCTCTGGTTGGATAATCACCTGCGAATAACAGGAATAAATTGTATTCTAGATTCTTCATGTATGAGAGGATCTCTAAATTATACCGGGTGGTTCATTCAAGACTATCCACCCTCGATAGCTCGCAGAATTATTATTTCACGAAAAAATGACGAAACAGGTCGATTTTCATATAGAATAGAATAGAATAGAATAGAAGTTTATTCACATAAGTGGAAATAATACATGTTTTACAAATTTTTGGGCCTATGAAAATAAACAGAAACACCATTTAGTCCTTCACGAGGACTGTCTATGGATAAGATTTCTTTGATTATTTAATAGACTTCAATTTTGTAAGTGAGTATTAGACATATTATGGACTATAATTATCTTATTTCTAATGGCAAGAATATAGTTGAGGAAGTATATTATATTAGTTTAGATTATTAATCTAAGGTTAGTAGCACATTCAGAAATGGATAAATCGACTGAATAGAAAATGTAGTAATATAATCTCTAATATAATAGTATTCAAAGTAAGTAGGGTAAGTGTAAGTATGCATTTAATTGACTTTAACATAAAAAGTTTTGCATGATAGGATTGATTCATTCAACAACTGTATTGAAAAATGTTCTCTCTTGTTCGAGAATCCAGTCTTTCATATTTCTTTTGAAACCAAGTTTGGATTTTATATTTCTGATAGATTCAGGGAGGAGGTTATAGAATCTTGGAGCGGTATAGAAGAGAGACCGCTGCCCTAATGCTTTGTTTGCTTTAGGTAAGGAAACATTTTTCATCTTCATACTGCGCGTGTTATATGAGTGGTTCGGTTTGGTGAGGTAAGTTGATTTATTCGAGAATGTGAACATCAGAACCGATTTCACATAGATTTGTCTCACATCTAGTATTCTTTATTCTTTGTATATAGTTGGTCAGATTGATATAATGCAGGTTTAAAAGTTATAATTTTGAGAATTCTTTTTTGCAGGATTAGTAGAGGTTCCAGTATGGTCTTTCGAACTCCCCCCCACCCAATTATTCCATAGCTCATGAGGGACTCAGCAATAGCAAAATAAATGATTTTAAGGTATATCGACACTGATAGAATTTGTATAGTAGTGAACGCATCTTTTTTTTTAGATTGTTAACGTGACCAACCCATCTTAAGAATGAGTCGATTGTTATACCAAGGTATTTTGCTCTAGTTGCAATAGTAACATTCTGTCCATCAAAAACTATATAGTTGTAAGGCGGTAGATTATTTTCATATGAGGTAAAGGGTAGGATATTGGTTTTAGTTCCGTTCACAGTCAACAGATTTACTTTGAACCATTTACTTATTTTTTCCAGGTCTTGTTGGGCTTTTTCTTTTACTGTTGTCCATGAATCCGCCTCATATAATATAACTGTATCGTCAGCGAAGGAGACAATCACACCTTGGGTTTCCGAGGTAAGTAATGAGTTCAGATATATTATAAATAGCACAGGTCCAAGAACAGTTCCCTGTGGTACTCCACAAGAAACCGTTCTTGGCCTACTCACTATATTATCTAACTTAACCATCTGTTGTCTATCACTCAGAAAACTCTTGAACAGTATCAAATGCCTTTGCTAAATCGACAAACAACAGCTTTGTACAACAGCGAAGTGACATATGCTAAAGCATCTTGGGTACTCCGATTTTCTCTGGATCCGTACTGTCTATCAGAGATTATTTGATTTTGGTCAAGGTAATCCATAAGGCGACACTTTATTATTCTCTCAAATAATTTAGAAATAGCCGACGTTAGCGAAATTGGTCTGTAGTTTGACATGCTAGTTTTTATACCACTTTTATGTATAGGTGTTATGAATGCTTTTTTGCAGGATTGAGGTATGATTGGGGGGGGACACCTTTCGACGCAAAATAAATGATCCATACTTCAACCCTCTACTTCCCAGAGCAACCCCCTCAATAATTTGAATAGGGAATAAGGGTCGTGTTATACATCATTGCGAAGGTAATTCAATTATGAAACTATCAGTGGAAAGTTTTTTGAATTCCAACAAGTCGTTCTCGAAATATTCGAGTTCGAATGGTATGTTTTCCAATTGCGAGTGATTGAATGTACGGAATGAATTATTGAATGGTTATCCACAACAAATGTTCAAAATTACCTTCATTGACTTCCAGACAGTGGTAGAATCTATTTGTAAATTCCTTTCGCACATTTGGAATGTTTCTCTAGTTAT